ACCTTATTTCAGTTCCACCCGTTACCTCCTAGTGCCACCCTGTACTTCTGAGTCCAACCTTATTCCGCCTGGGACCGTCGTCCCCCACCAATCACTACCACCAATGTCATAGTATTACCACCGATCTCTCAGTACACGAGGGTACCATTACACAACACAATATAACCACCGATCTCGTGAGCAATGCTAAAAAAATATTACCACCAATCTCATTCATAGATACACATAGTCATTATCAAGTGGATTGAGGCACATCATTAGCCCAATCAAGCATCAACAAAGGATATAATCAAATGTACAAGATCACATTATAGACATCAATCAAGAGGTTTCAATGAAAGACATGAAACAATACTCAGCAACAACAATGGACTTCAATCCAATATCAACACGATTGGCAACACAAGTTGCCAATCCTCAAAGGAATGGACAAACAACGCATACTAGCATCAAATACAACATATCTAGCAGGCTCATCAAACGGGTAAACCAAATTGGTTCCAACGAACCTCAAAGACTCATATAAATCTAACGAATCACAAAGTCGGACCATAAGCACGATTCAAGACACCAAAACCTAACATAGATACTTATGACATCGTTCTAGACATAATAAACATCAAGAAGACACCCAAAAGCTCAACAATCCAACAAAAGGAGGTCAAAACATCACATACCAAAAGATGGTACCACGGGAAAAACAACACTCGGTAATCCACCGGGATTGTACCCCCCGGGTGGAACCACGCGTAGGTCCCTACACACGGTACCTCCCGCCAGGTACAACTCTCCACCCGCGGGTGGGGCGGCGGGTGGACAGGTACCCGCCGTTCCGCCCGCGGGTAACACGTCTGAACCACAATTTTCCCTTCGGGGAAATTGATCAACTAGGCCAAGTTCAAGTCCAAAACACCCCAAATCACACATACAACAAGGAAATGACTTGAACTCAAGAATAGATCAAAGAACAACATTCAAGAAATCTAGATACAAGCTCTAAACATGCATTATCACATGATCATGCATCAAATCACTCACAATCATCAAGAATCATCAATAAAAGTCAAGAATCATAGATAGCAAGTAGAAAATAGGTTTTGTATAGCATGAGTTACCTTTGTAGACCAAAACCTTCTTCCTTTCAACTCTCCTAAGCCCTACTGGGAAGCTCTTCTTCCTCACAAGCTTCTTACACAAGTCAAACCACAAGAAAACACCAAACTTAGATAAAGACATCTTAAAGCTAACCAAAAACACTAAATAACTTTAGATGTTACCCTTTCACAAGCTTGGAAGATAGAAAGGTGAGATCTTGGGATGAATCTTTGCAAGATTGGGTGATGTCTTTCTTGGCTTGGGGAAGAAGCCAAGTTTCTTAGAGAAAAGGAAGAGAAAAGTTGTCTTACTATAGTGAGGAATGAGCTTTAGGTTTGGGTAGGGTAAGGCTTCAAGACCAAGTAAGTAGAAAAGACCATCTTACCCTTACTTTTCCTAGAAAGGCTTAGGAAGACTCCAAAGATTTAGGTACAAACATCAAAGCTAAAGGTACTCCTTTTTTACTTAAATCAATTGACCAAGGAGTTGGTCAACTTAGGTCCTCCAACTATCAAATTAGGAATTTGATTAGGAAATTAACAGGGCTGGCCCTAGGGCAAGGGCAGGCTGGGCCCTTGCCCAGGGCCCATCTCTAGAGGGGGGCCCAATGGCCATTAGATATATTAATATATTAGTATTTTTTATGCATGATGCGTAAAAAAAATAGGTGTTCAATATTAGTATTTTATATTTAAATTTATTTAAATTTTAGATATTTAAATTATTGTAAATAATAATAATGTAAAATATTTTTATAAATTTGATATTTATATTTTAAGAAATAACTAACATATAACTCCAATATATAATGTCTATATATTATTATTATAATTGAAGATAAGATAATATATGGTGGATGCATGTGCATAGTAACAATAGTGAAAATATAACAGAAGTTATTATATTATGAGTATGTTTGACCAAAATATTGTAAAATACAACTTTTATAGCAAAATGTAAAAAAAAAAAAAAAAAAAAAAAAAAACTTAACAAAAAAATAGACATAAATAAAGGATATAACTTTCATTCACACTTATTATGTTTTTAGATTATATTTATATTATATATATAATATATATTACTTAGTACGGAGTATATATTAAAAAATTGGTTAATTGCTTTTGACTTGATGACTTCTGATCGAAGTCAAGAAGACGGAAGAACCGATGAAGAGATGTCGCACACCCATGCTGCCCAAGAGGGTAAGAGACGTCGCCTCGCCGGTCGCGCCTACGCCACACCAACAATTCAATTCCTCTCAACGATAATAATAAAGTTATTAAAAGCTCAGAAGTCAATTAACAATGGGCAATCAACATTTGACAATCGCCAAATAACAAATCTTCTTTGCAAATCTACCCATTCTACCAATACCGTTGGCACTCATCGACAATCGCAAGTCACTCTGGTCAGCCGATTTTTCATATAGGGGCCCTTATTTAAATTTCGCCCTGGGCCTATAAAATGTTTAGATCGGCCCTGGAAATTAACAAGGGTAACTTAGGATTAATTACTTCATGAATCCTATTTAAAAGATGGGATTTTCGGGGTGTCACATCCTCTCCCCCTAACAATACGCTTCGTCCCCGAAGATTTGGTAAAGCAAAGTTCGTCAAAAAGGATAATATGAACAAGATGTGACATAGACAGAAAGAAAAGATAAACAAGGTTTTAGGCAACAAGCTTTAACCAAGCAACTCTTATAAAATCTAAAACACACTTGCTAACTCAAGGTCTATACCAACAACCAAACTTAACACGTCTACAAACAATCTACCTTACACCCACAGCTAACAACAACTAACGCCACAGATAACACACTAGGCAAACAAAAGCTAGAAAAGATTACCTCACTCCTCAGCTTGGGACGAGCCGTCCCCCAAGTCCTCTTCAGCTTCATCCTCGGATCCTAGATCTTCCCCGTCTCCATCCCGGCTAGAACTAGCCTCCAACGCTGTCAGCCTCTAGTTCACGGTCACAAACTGTGCCTTCATAAACGCGAAACCTTCCTCAATCATCTGATTTTGCTGTCGAAGAAGAGCTTCCACTCGTTCCTCGTGTGTCATGGAGTCGTTAGCTCTCTTTGTCCTTGCTTCTTTCCTTTGACGATTCTCCTCATCCTCGGAGTAGCTCTCTTCTACCTCCTCCTCCTCTTCTTCACTTCTTCCCATCTCCTGGACAGTCTGATTTAGCTTCTTGACGGGAACTCCTAGCTGCTCTGTCAAAAGCTTCCTCTCAGGTGGGGATTTCTTGGCTACCTCTTCCAGGGTGATGTACTCATTGTCATCCAGTAGAAACAGATTACAACTTCGCAGATTTGTAGCATCCAAGACCATTTTACCCACAGCCTTGGCAGAAGTTCCTTCAACTTTCACCCCTTTCTTCTTAAGGATCCAAATTAGAATCATACCATATGGTAGGCTCTTTCGGTTATGGTCCACACAGTAATCCATGTGTTGAAGCATGAGAGCTGGCAGGTTGAACTTCACTTTATGTTTCAAGAAATAGGCAAAAACACACTCCAAATTTCCCAAAAGATTACTCTTGTTATTGTTAGGCAACACACAGTCTGTAACAAGTATAATCAAAATCTTTTGTTCCCTGGTGAGCCACTTCCTCTCCGGTCTCGTGGCTTGGGTAAAACCATCGGTTTGGCCCAACAGATATTCCAAATAATCCTGGTACCCGAAATCCTCGGTACTAACCCAAGCATCCCTACAATACTCCGTGACCCCCGTGGTCGTTAAATTCAAGAGTTTTGCCAACCGATTTTCATTCAAAGAAATTTTAACACCCCTCACTTTAGAGGTGATTTCCAACTTCCCTCCATCCTTAGTCACATTCATGTGACGATAAAATTCCTTCACCAAATCCGGATAGGTCTCATTCTTAATGAACAAAAATCCATTCAACAAATCTTGAAAATTAAGCATATCCAGCAAGGAGCTCGAAAAAGATTCGATTTCAAAGGCTTTACCTTCCAGCGGCGACGCCTGACGCGGCGGTGGCTGGTGGCGACGGGTGGCGAGGCTGGTGGCGATAGGCGATGGTTGCTGTCCAATGGGTTGGGAGGGGGTTTTCTTTGGCTGGTGTGGGTAGGAGAAGGAGAGAAGAGAGAGGAGGGTTTTGGGGAAAAATTGGAGAAAGAGGGATTTTTAATTTGGGATTTTAATTTGGGTTGAAAGAAATAAGTCAAAAGGAATTGAAGGGGAATAAGATTTAAGAATCACTACTAGCCTAGATGGTTGAAGGGTTGGGTTGAAAACTTGGATGCTTAGGTCTGAAACTCACTAGCTACTAATTAAGGTTCCAAGCTTAAGGATTATCTTAAAAATTACCCAAGTCTAGGTTTTAGGTGAAGAAACACTTTAGGTTACACTTAGAAAAATTAAATCTTTTAACTCTTGGGTTTTCAAACTAAGGTTGGACAACCTAAACGAAACGACTAACTCCCTTAATTAATTTCTACCCCATAAGAAAGATGCAAGGAAACGACACGAAAGAGGGTATAACTCAAAGACAAAAAGGTGGGGTTGAGAACGGTACCTGTAGCCTCATCCTCAGTCAAACCCTCAGCTTCGGCCTGCGATCGGCTCATCACGTACACCTTGCCTTGAGGTCTCGCTCCTCCCGAGGTTGCATTCCTAGAGCCACGATTGAATCCATTTCCTGTCTGTCCCAACGGTGCATGCCTTACACTAGACTGTGGAGCTCCCTAATTCAACTGGAGATGGCACTCGAAAGCCTTGTGTCCTCTCTTCCCACATTTGAAGCAATGTAACATATTCCCTTGGAAGTCCTTCCCAATGTGGTTCCTACCACATCTCCGGCATCAAAATGGCTTTCCCTTCTCACCGTTGTCCACTTTGGCCGTTCCTTGAGTCGGTTGGGAGGATGGTCCACTCCTATAGCTCTGTCTGTTGCCCACTACCCTCACCCCTTCTCCTAACTGAGTCAAAGGACCCTCTTTGCAACTGCTGAACTCGGTACAAATCCGCGGCACTCAAATAAGCCTCATTGAACGTCCTTGGTTTGCTCACCGTCAAGGCCTTCATTACCTCATAGTTGAGCCCGAATACAAACTTATCCACCTTGGCAGCCTCGGTGGGAACCAACACACGTGCGAATCTGGCCAACTCCAGAAAATAGTTATGATACTCCACTTCGGACTGAGTCCCTTGCTTCAAATGGAGGAACTCCTCATACATAGCCGCTCTCACAGGCGCCGGATAAAACCTCTCTCGGAGCTTGTCCTTCAAAGCTGACCAATCAAACCCCGGTTCCTCAAGACATGCTGGACCCTCGTGGACCCACCATAGGTCCGCCTCGTGGCTGAAGTAGAACGTTGCTAGCTCCACACGACGGTCTTCAGGGCAACCAACCACTGCGAAGACTTTGTCCAAGGCACGGATCCACTCCTCTAAAAGAATAGGGTCTTCTTTCCCGGCGAACACGGGAGGTCGGTGACTCGAGACTTGCCGACCAATGTCGCGGTTACCAGCTGGCTGTGGCGGAGGGTTGTTGTTGTTGTGCATAAGGGTGTTGCTCAACGTCTGCATGGTCTGCGTGAGGTGCTAAAGGTTCTGGGCGAGCTGCTCATTCATAGGCATATCTGGAGTCCGGGCACGATAACGAGGAGGTTCCATCACAAGATTCTTCAAAAACATCACGGTTATGGCAAAGAAACGAAGAGACTTGCATCCTTACCCGATGCTTAAGGCAAGAGAAAACTAAGACTAAGCAAGAGCAAGCAAAGCAAACACAACGAACGATAAAGGAAACTCATATCTCACCGCGCGTCCTAAGAGTCTTAAGTCCTAACACTTAACCACTTAGGGGTCAACTTAGAGTCTCAATTCCAACTTAACTTCTTAAAGTTCAACTCTTAACATCTTAGGCTCAAACCTAGGCTCTGATACCAACTTTAACACCCCCGATTTTACCAATATTTAAAAACTTAAATAAGAGATAAACAGTCTAATCATTAATCACAAACAAGCGGAAGCAAAACTATTAATTGGGAAAGTGCTATGCCACACCCATAAAATCTACAGGTGCCAGGCTAAGTCTAACAAAATCATCATAACATAACAGCAGTCTAAGGCACACAGGCCAACAAAACTAATCGAAAGGAAAGGCAAGACTACGCTAATTAGATCCACTAGCACGCTCTCCAAGCTAATCATAACCTGAAAACATAGGGATACCACCCGTCAGCGAGAGATGCTGGTAACACACTAATACGCGTAAAGTAATATAACATATAGATATATTCAAAACCGTTTGAGACAAGGGAATACAGTATATATCATTTCAAAGCCAAAAGAAGGAAACGTCAAGGAACACAATCCACACTCTCAACAAAGACCAACAACCACAATACACAAGCCAAAGGACCACAATCAACATACTCAACAAGAACCACAACCTACCATCTTAATGGTAGAATTCTTAACAAACATGCTCATAAGCAATAACACAACAATCACATAATGACAAGATTAACGTTCCAACCTTATGCCCTGTTCCAACCTTATGGCTACCCCCGACCTTATTTGAGTAATTCAGTTCCAACCGTTACTTCCTAGTGACACCCTGTACTTCTGAGTCCAACCTTATTTCGCCTGGGACCGTCGTCCCCCACCAATCATTACCACCAATGTCATAGTATTATCACCGATCTCTCAGTACACGAGGGTATCATTACACAACACAATATTACCACCGATCTCGTGAGCAAAGCTCAAACAATATTACAACTAATCTCATTCATAGATACACATAGTCATTATCAAGAGGATTGAGGCACATCATTAGCCCAATCAAGCATCAACAAAGGATACAATCAAATGTACAAGATCACATCATAGACATCAATCAAGAGGTTTCAATGAAAAATATGAAACAATACTCAGCAACAACAATGGACTTCAATCCAATATCAACACGATTGGCAACACAAGTTGCCAATCCTCAAAGGAATGGACAATCAACGCATACTAGCAGCAAAGACAACATATCTAGCATGCTCATCAAACGGGTATACCAAATTGGTTCCAACGAACCTCAAAGACTCACATAAATCCAACGAATCACAAAGTCAGACCATAAGGACGATTCAAGATGCCAAATCCTAACATAGATACTTAGGACATCGTTCTAGACATAAGAAACATCAAGCAGACACCCTAAAGCTCAATAATCCAACAAAAGGAGGTCAAAACATCACATACCAAAAGATGGAACCACGGGAAAAACAACACCCGACAATCCACCGGGATTGTACCCCGCGGGTGGAACCACGGGTAGGTCCCTACCCGCAGTACCTCCCGCCAGGTACAACTCTCCACCCGCGGGTGGGGCGGCGGGTGGACAGGTACCCGCCATTCCGCCCGCGGGGAGCATGTCTGAACCACAATTTTCCCTTCGGGGAAATTGATCAACAAGGCCAAGTTCAAGTCCAAAAACACCCCAAATCTCACATACAACAAGGAAATGACTTGAACCAAAGAATAGATCAAAGAAAAACATTCAAGAAACCTAGATACAAGCTCTAAACATGCATTATCACAAGATCATGCATCAAATCACTCACAATCATCAAGAATCATCAATAGAAGTCAAGAATCATAGATAGCAAGTAGAAAATAGGTTTTGTATAGCATGAGTTACCTTTGTAGACCAAAACCTTCTTCCTTTCAACCCTCCTAAGCCCTACTTGAAAGCTCTTCTTCCTCACAAGCTTCTTACACAAGCCAAACCACAAGAAAAATACCAAACTTAGATAAAGACATCTTAAAGCTAACCAAAAACACTAAATAAATTTAGATCTTACCCTTTCCTAAGCTTGGAAGATAGAAAGGTGGGATCTTGGGATGAATCTTTGCAAGATTGAGTGAGGTCTTTTTTGGCTTGGGGAAGATGCCAAATTTCTTAGAGAGAAGGAAGAGAAAAGTTATCTTGCTCTAGTGAGGGAATGAACTTTAGGTTTGGGTAGGGTAAGGATTCAAGACCAAGTAACGAGAAAAGACCATCTTACCCTTACTTTTCCTAGAAAGTCTTATGAATACTCCAAAGATTTAGGTACAAACATCAAAGCTAAAGGTACTCCTTTTTTACTTAAATCAATTGACCAAGGAGTTGGTCAACTTAGGTCTTCCGACTATCAAATTAGGAATTTGATTAGGAAATTAACAAGGGTAACTTAGGATTAATTAGTCCATTAATCCTATTTAAAGGATGGGATTTTTGATGTGTCACAACAGTTGCAGGGACCACTCCTTAATGGAGGCTTGTCAGTCCTCCGTGGGTGTAACACCCTGAAAATTTTAAAACTTTTTGATCTTATAATACGAAAGCAATTCTATTAAATATATAATAAATAAAGCATTCTAAACATAGAGTCAGGGGTGTTATGCCACATCTGAGCTAGAAAGCTCAGATGCACAGGCTATTCTAACTAACTATCCTCAAATATTGTCATTACATCATCAAGGCACGCAGGCCGAAGGAAAGACTAACTATCTAATCCGAGTTCTTCTAGCGCGCTCCGGAAGCTAATCATCTGTGCCTGAAAACCAAATATATCTGTTCAGCGAATGATGCTGGTAACCCACTCTAACGCGTTAAAATACAATATAGGTAAATATAAATACATAGATATAGGAAAACCATTTTGAAGCAGGAAGGAATGTACTTAGAAGACTCTGGCTTAAAAACCAGGATTTGACTCGATAGATAGGGATAGACACTTTCAACAACGATAACTGACTATATAGAGACAATATGATATAAATAGGTCACAATTCACTTTCATGTCATTCACATCATCATTCAATCAATATCCTTGTCACACAAGCACACTTTGGTGGAGCCACGGGACAAATCGCATGCCCCAAAAATGAGGGTTAGCGCATATAGCGCTCACACGGCCCCGCAGCACCCTACCTCATACCGCAGCATGAAGGAATTGACCGCAGCCAATTGTATAAACCGTCGATAGATTCAACGACGGACCACAGCCCTACACACACTGACGCGTTCAGTCGGTGGACTGTGATCCTCTTTTGGGGACTGCGACCCTACACACCGCTTGACGAGCTCAGTCGGTGGGTCATAGCTGATCATAGGCCTACACACCGCCTGAGGGATTCAGTCGGTGGACTATGATCTTTGGGGACTACGACCCTACACACCGCTGGCACGTACACTCGGTGGATCGCAGCTGACCATAGCCCTACACACCGCCTGACAAACTCAGTCGGTGGACTATGGCCTTCCTCGTGGCTTGTAGCACCACACACCGCCTGACACGTCCAGTCGGTGGACCACAGCACACGAGGCCCATGAGGTGGACCGCAGCCCTAGAAGTGAGTCACTGACCACAGCCAGGATAGTGAACAGCAGCTCATGAGTAACCAATTTGACCAAAGCCAAGAGTCATGCACATATATCAAGTAGCAAGCACATTCAACCCACATTAACACATAGTGGTAGGGGGGGGGGGGGGGGAAACGTATAATAAACTTATGCGTGGTCATCCACATACTAGGAATAATCCTAAGGGGTTCATGCACCTTTCACCTAGGCCAACGGGATACCAATTTAACTAGCATGTAATACATACGACTCTTTTATCCTACGAACGGTACCCGAAACATCAAACTAGACTTAAGCACGATAAGTCTGCCCGCCGGCCGCCCACTGCCAGTGGCGTTAATTCGGGCAGTGGGTAGGTGGCGGGTCCCCCTACCCCCACCTACCCCCCACTGACTCTTTTTCAATACTTGGGTCCCGGGATCCTTTGTGGAACCCGAACCCATACTTAGACACTTTTAAACGCAAACGACGACACCACGTAGTCAAATAATGGATCAAAACCAAGAATCACGTTGGACACATCTTATCATTACTTCTAAACATAATCAACACCCGAACATGCAAATTCCCACCCAAATATACACCAAGAACATCACAATATAAAATTCCCAATTTAACCTAGGGCTCTAATCCCATCCAAATAATCAAGATCATAGTTCATCTTTTGTTATCAAGAAACATCAAGGTTTATCAAGAACATCACACAATTATCAAGATCATCTTATCATCATCAAGATCACACATAAATCATCTCATCAATCATCAAGATCATATCATAATTATTATAGGAGATTTCATCAAGACACAAGCATATAGAAGGAGCCAAAGGAGAAGATTATAGCAAGGAAAATAGGTTTTGTTGAGACATGGGTTACCTCTTAGCCTTAATTTAATTCCTTGGCTATGAAGGGTCTTTCTTTAAGATCTCTTCTTTCTTGATTTCTCCGATGGGAATTCTTGTGAATTCTTGTGTGGTGAAAGTTATTGTGGTGTGGGTTCTAGGTGCCTCCTATGCCCCTATTTGTATATATCTAAGAGTTCTTGACTGCCTTCTGTTAGGTGCCATGCTACTGATCTACTGAGTCAATGTTTATAGTAATTTTGAGTTAGAGTGCTGCACCCTTACCTTGGTGCGATAAGCGAAGGGGAGAGTTTTCTTAAATTTAAACGGAGGGTAGAG